GATAAAACACAACCAAAACTCCGATTTCAACAACTTTACAGTCGAACTGACTAACTCGACAAGAAGAACTCAATATTACCAAAATTAGTCCAATCCGAGTCAAATCAAGTTCGGATCAAGTCATTAAACCAACCTTGGAAGTTTTTCGGACATCTTTAAAAGGCTAAACGAATGTCGAATCTTGAAATCCTATAATCAAATTGAGAACCTCAACAAGACAAGTCCAATGAGCCCAAGATTGCTCAATTCCAACATCGTTTAGGCACTCAAATGTCCATCAAACGTTGTCTGATTGAGGGAAGCCCGTCCGATCAAAGTGATTCGTATTCTTGCATTCATTGCACCCAGGATACTATAAATAAAGCCCCACGCCTCTCATGAGAAAGAAGCTTGAGCTTGAGAAAGCACTTGAAGCTTTGAAAAGAAGCTGAAGTCCAACACCACTCCTGCCACCGACGGCCACCACTGACCGCCGTCGACCACCGTTGACCGCTATTGATCATCGCAGACCATCATCGACCACCACCTGTCATCTTCCATTGATCGTCATCGGTCGCAACTCACTTCTTACTATAAATTTATTCATGCATCGAAAAAATTAAAATTGACTTTTAAATTTTGCTAGCACTTAATGAAAATAATATAACAAATAAGAATTTAAAGTAAAACTTCAATCAATCTTACGACCTGTTGATTGTCGCACAAATGTCATATTGTTTGTGAATGAACTCATATATGTTTCTCAAGCTTGGAGATGTGTCAATCCTCTTTTGAAAGTTCCTCATTCTTCATCAATTGTTCATTAACACCTTTCTCTTATAATATACTTATATTTATAGATAAACTAAATTTATTATATAATTAGTAATAGTAATATTATTATTATTCATGTTGGAATACATACTAAAAAAAATTAGTAGATTAATTTTAAGTGTAATGCAAGGTTGTGAAAAGTAGACCGGATATTAAATCGGTAGAAGAAGATGTCAAAAGTTCAAAGGTCGAAATTGGACCTATGGCCAATTCACGGTCGAACCGATCAAATTGGCTGGTCAAGTCTGATTTTCTAAACCATGTTGTTTTCAAAGGATGTGACAACATTCAAGATATATACCCCTTCTATGCTATTTTATCATAGAACATACACTTGATAAAGAAATGGACATATACATAAAAAATATCATAAGTTATAAATATCAATAAATTTTTATTAGGACATTTCATGCTTTATTTATTATTCATAATCACATGTGTTCCCCCACCACTAGTTTTCTTGCCATTAGGTTATTGTTGTTCCAGTTAAAAGTGTGATGGTTCTTCCAGCCTTAGTTGTAAGTGTTGGAATGGATTTTTGAATTGTTGCTTACAAAATTTACATTCTCTAAGACATCAGTGCTAGGATCTTATATTGATCTATAAATTATCTTATCACTTGATAGGGATTCTGGCACATAATTGATCCCATAATTATCTAACTTTCTAGAGATGACCACTAGTTGTGAAGCCCGGATTGTCAGGATGTCGGTCTCGTGTAGAGTACGTACATTCTTCAGTATGACTCTATTAGATGTCCATTTGAATTTATTAGTTGACATTTCTCAATCAAAACATACACCTCATTGAATGGTTTGGACATGAGGTACTTCAGTTGCAGCATCTATAATAACCTTAAGGATCATACCAACCCTTTGTAAAAAGTTTAGATAATTAACCAATCATGTAGGGCATGATGAGGACATTTCCTAAGCAACTTTTAAACATCTCTCAAACGACACAGATCAACTCTCGATCTATTTGGGTAAAGAATGTGATATCATTCTTAAATTTGACACTCTTAGATGGAGGGACGTACTTAGTTAGGAATCTTTGGGCTAAGTTAATCCATAAGGTGATGGATCCTGGTCCTAAGGAGGTGAGTATGATTATTGGTTTTATCCTTAAGTGAGAAAAGTAAAATTCTTACTTTAATGGCATTACCGAGGACATCGTTAAACTTGAAGGCTGTACAAATTTATAGAAAATTAGCTAGGTGCATATTTGGATCTTCTGTGTGGGATCCTCAAACCAATTGTTTTGGTTCGTATAAATTATGGCAGGTCTCAGCTCAAATGTGTGGGTTTCTACGACGGGGTATTGGATACTCATGTGAATTATGTTTACCCATGTGTTAACAATCCTTCTTAGTAGTTTCTTGTGATTTTTATGAGGGTTCATTGTCTATAAAATTTTTTTAAAACTTTTTGAACTATTTGACTTTTTAGAATTTTTAAAATTTTCTAAGTATCTTTTTCAATTTGACCTAAACTACTCCTAAGCATGCAATGATAAGTGTGTGAAGGTCAAAACCATTCCAAAATAGGGAATGCGAATAAAAATTGGAAAAACTTAAAGAATTTCACAAGGATAATACAAGAGTTGGACAGGAAAATATGAAATCATAGAAATATAAATAAAGATGCAAACAATTTTATTTTTTTGGATTTTTCAAAAAGAAGAACGAAACTAAATTATAATAAAAATGAAACAAATAAGAAAATAAGACATAGTTCAAACCTAAATTCTAGGTTTATTAACTAAAATTATCACAATGTTAGGGATTAGGGTTTAGGGTTTAAGGCACCGACGACAAAATATTGATGTGCAAAATGTGTTATGAGATAGGTTTGTAGTTCACGCAACTAGAAGTGATTTACATATTGTGAGTCAGTGTTTCGATCCTACGAGGATAATTATGAAAATCTTCTTAACATGAGAAGTTCTATTTTACTAAATTATGGACTTTGAAATGAACAAAAGAAAAAGTAAATAGAACTAACATCAAACAGAAATGACAAGTAACAATTTTGAGCTCTTCAGATGTGATGAGAATCATGTTTCTGTGACACCCCTATAGTGTTTTCTCAATATTTTCCTATGAGTTTCCTAAGGTAGTAGTTAACAACCAGCGATACAATCGTTTTTAGCCTATGTCTAGGGTAGGGTATAAGAAAAGTCAGAAAGTATATTACAATTAAAAGGGACTTAGTTATCTAGCGTTTTTTAGGTTTCCTCAAATCCCCTTATCTAGATTGTAATTACTTTCTGGCAATAGGTTTATTCCATTAGGTTATGATGTGTTAACCTACTTGATCTTCTAGTTGAAGGTTAGGAGTCTTAGATCACAAGAAGTTTTAACAACTTAATAAAACAGATTAGAAGTAAATGACGACATGCATAGTTCAAAAGCATAAAAAAGTTCATGCGAAAAAACTATTCTTACATCAGATGAACATTAAAACAGATTTAGCTATGAAACATGAGAGATAAAAGCATAAAAAATTTTATCAAAATTATTTAAAGATACACAAGTGTAAGAAGGAATAAACTTAGAATCAAACTTACATAACCCAAATCTTCGATAACACGTCAAAAATACCACCATTTTAACTTTTACAAAGCAAAATACACATTTTCGTGCGTAGTTAAGGTAGTATGTATTTAAAAATTGAAGCTTGGGTAAATACATCAGAAATGGGTAATGTACTTAAAAATTGGAGCTTGGGTAAATACATGGTAAGTAAATCTTCCTTTTATTATTTACTGTGACTCTTTTTTGAAAATTCAGCAAAATTAAATCTCATCTAAGGAGAAGTATAAAGTTCATATTATTATTTATAAATAATCAAAAAAAGGAATATATTAACTTGAGTTTTAGCATTATAATGTTCTTCGCTTATAAATTTTGTAAAGAAATTATTAAATATTTTTTTTTAAATATCAAATATATTATTTTAAGCATGCATTCACTAAAATTTTAGTTTAGTAGATTTTTTTAGTAGGATATGTAAAACTACTTCCAATAAAAAATTATTTATCCAAAATAAAAAATAAATCTTTAATAATATTGCTCATTAAAAATATTTTCTTTTCAACTTATAATGGGCAACTTTTTTTATTCCATTACCCCTTTCATTTAAAAAATATAAATAATTTTAAAAATTTTCATAAAATAAATTAATTATAATTACTCATGCATAAAATAAGTATATTAATAATTACAAGACCAACTCCAAAAATTCTTCTACTAAACTTTTCTTAATATATTAACATTTCCAATACAAATTAAAAAAAAAAAAAAATTGTCATTCAAGCAAACCCTTTCCCATATAAAGCTCACTTCTAACTCTAGTTAGAAGATAATCTTACTACTACTTTCCATTGATGCATGAAACTCTAAACTTCCAGTAAAGAAATAATTGTCCCACATCATTAAAAATTAAAATAACTCATCAGGACAATAGCAACTTTGATCCAAAACAAGAAAATAATGACAAATCCAATATTTCTAATTACACATCAGTAACTTGCATACTGTTGAGGATACATAACAATAAAACTGCAGCAAAACTAATTAAGTAAAGGCCTACATAGAGCTGTCAAAACGGCTCGTTGTTCGCTAACAGCTCGTGTTCGTCTCGTTAATTTCGTTCAATAAGTTAACCAGCCGAACACGAACTAAGATGTGTTCGTTCGTGTTCGGCTCATTTTGGCTCGAAATACTACTCATCAAGTTTATATATATATATATAAAATAGTATTTTAAAAAAATCTAATTGACTACAAGGCTACAAAGATTTATCATCAATTAAAATATTGATTGAGAAAATAGAATGAAAATTATTAAATTAGATTCAAATGATGTTTTAATATAAATCATAATTTTTAAATCTTGTTCAAATCGTTATTGTCTTATGGCTACATGATTAGGGTTCTTAAAAGGACTCTTGTTCGTGAACAGCTCGTGTTCGGCTCATTAAGCAAACCAGTCGAACAGAAAAACACTTTTTGAGCTCGAAATATAAACGAGCCGAACACGAGCTGAGCATGGCTCGCTCATGTTCGCCTCGTTTACACCCCTAGGCCTACATAACTTCCAACCATGGAAACATAACCATACAAGGAACTTCAGTTCAGAAATAAAAGATTTTAATAAACAGAACTATATCATTAAAACACCTAAACCTATCAAGATTTGTCGAGGTTTACACACAATTTTTATGTATTTACATGTCTCCCACCTAAACGTTTGTATTTACACACGGCACTCAGATCTTTAATACCACAACAAAAATAGCACTATTTTTATTGTTTATATATAGGTTTAAAGCACCGAAATGCTATGACAATATGAAAGTTTAGATTTGAGATATGTAAAATACAAGAATTTTTTATTGCATTCCAATGATCACTTACCCTTCTTGCGTTTTACTTGGTTGGTCTTTGACGGGGCCTTCTTCCCCGTCTTTCTACTGCAGCTGGGGCAGAACCAGTCGCCCTCCGGAACTTTCGTAAGCGGGGGATCGCAGCAGTCTATATGAGTTGCAACACCACAGCCGCGGGTGCGAGCCTCGTCGCCGCAGATTAGCATCACATCTTCCCTATCTGGAGAACCACAGGCCAGGCATTTAATATCAGACAAGTCATCTTCAGCAGAAACTTCATCAGAAACCAGCTCTTCTGAGCGGCTAAGAAGGTTTGCAAAAGATTTCTCTGCCCATTTATGGGTCTCATAAAGAACATGTTTCTCAAGAGAATAACCAGGCTTGCATACGTATTCCACCAGGTAATCTGGAAGGACACAAGGTATCTCATGCCTCAAGAATTCTTGAATCCACACGTCAATTACCGGCATGCTGGCATTCACGATGGCGAAATCGATGCTGGATTTAAGGAAGCGGGTGTAAGGAGGGGAGGTCGCTAGAACGGTGCCATCTCCGGCTTTCACTGCTCGTTTCAGGGTGTCCTGAATTGTTATGAATTATGATCAGGTTGGAAAAAAGGAGGAATGAACATTCGTTTGGATGGACTGGTTTTCAAATTGGACGATTTGGTTGCAACCAGAATAAAAAATCCGAAAAAATTAAAGCAATCAAAATTTTGATAAACTAAACCAAAGTTTAATTGGTATCAATGATTCGGTCATGAAAAAACCAAAATTTAGCGGTTGTGTTATAAGCAAACATTAAAGAATTACATATGCAAGTATAATATTGATTAATTTCATGAATATTCCATTTAATTCAGTTTTTTTATTTGTTCCGTTGAATGGAAATCAAAACCTAACTAAAAGCCAAAAACAGAATATAGAGTTTTAAAAAAACAAAAAATTGAAATGTATTTTTGAAATCCAAACTGAATCAACCAAACTTGTTTTGTTGGGTTCCGTTTTGACCGAATAATCCACACCCATAGAAATAAGTTAAGAAAAAACAAAACAATATGATCAAAGGAGTTGGAAATTCATAGCAGCGTTGAAGAGTTTAGAGAAGAATGAGAAGTAATATTGAGCAAAATTATTCGGAAAATGATACCAGTGGGGGAACAATGCATTCTCCATATATGATAATGCGCATCCCATAGAAGGCACCGTGGCCAGTCCTTTCTCTCAAAGTGCGCCACTTTCGTGGAGCTTCCAAGCTGATTGCACCGTCTTCAGTAAGGCCTTTGTGATACCATTCGAAGGGTTCTTCATTTACAAACTTGACGGCTTCAACACTGGCACTCAAGTAATCCGACTTAAGAATCCATCTATATAGAGCTCTAAACATTAGAGTTTTATATTGAGATGGCAAGCATATGTGATGCACAACAATTAACTGAATGAATCATAAGGAACAAGAATATGATGAGGACACCTATTAAGAATTGTTAATTTAGCTTTCTTAATTGAAATTTTAAATTGCTTAAGATTATGCAACTCAATGTGGACTTAAAAAGGAGTTATAAATTTAAATTTATAAATTTAAATTTTATAATGCTGGGAGAAATTATGCAAAATCATGAAAGAAATAATTAATAGCATGATAATGCTGTTAATTATTCTTATATGATTTGTTTAGGGTTTCTAGGGCTACAGCCTATCCTCCCTCTTTTGGTCTTTCCTTAATTATTTTTAAGATTTGCAAGTGGATTATTTATTTGTGGTTTAGCAAAGTTTTGAAAAAAAAACTGAATAATTGAGAGAACAAAAAATAATTTCCATCCTAGACTTGGATGCTTGGCAACCAGCTCAAGGAGACAAAGATTTGGTGAGCAATATGTTTATTATATTGCAATTTTACTTTTCTCTTCTTGTCAAAAATCAAGTTCTTGACATGGTAATTTTTACTCCTTCCCCTAATGTCGCCGTAATTTTTCCTACTCCCATTCCCCATAAAATCAGAAGCCAAATCACAAGATCAAATGGTTGGCCAAAGCAAAAGCACAAGTGAAACCTAATCTTATTACCTCAGCCTTTTGTTCAACCCAAAATTCTTTAAAATTGATGAAAAGCTCTATAGATCTAAACCAAATACATTTTCCCACCACTAACAAAAGTTTTAAATTTTTTATAAAACCTAAATTCCATTTCACAAGGTCAAAAAGCTTACCAAAATCTGGTAGCCTGATTAGCTCAAGTATAACCTAATCTCCAGATAAAGTTAAAATTTGTAAAAAAATTCATAACACATTTAAACATAGTAACATAAAACGTTCAAGTGGATCCAAGCAATAGAGTTATATTCTCCAAAACAAAGAACAAAAGTCAAGTCTAGGATTTTCAAATTTATGAATAAGGCCTAAGAATTTAGGAACTAGCTAGCATCGGTTCTATATTATTAAGAAAGGGAGCAAAGGGGATGAAGCAAGAAAAGGGGGACCAAAGATACGAGATAAGCAGAACGTAAGAGCGGGGGAGAAGAGCATGTGTGAGTGAGATGTGGCCATGCAAACTCAAATGAAGCTGAAGTAACGATGAGCATTAGCTCGAGCGAAAAACAGCAATCAAGTGTATCTGAAGATAGTGAGGACAATGCAAGAAAACACAAACCAGAAAATTAAGTCACAAGCAAAGATCGCAAAATAGAAGATTCAGTCACACGCGACAGCAGAAGTGAGAGCATTGTCACAAGCAATAAGTATTGTGTGTAGAGAAGGTGAGACAAGAAGTTTGAGGTCGAGCGAACCTTCTTTCTACTTGAACCAAATTTGTGCTATATCACAAGGCCAATCGCACGACCAAATGATAAATGGTTAAGAAAAACATGATAAGACGTTGAGCCTCTCTCTAACAAACACTATGCAAGGGAATTGGCTAGAGTGAATCGACAGACGAGTTTGGGTGTGAAGGAAGCAATCAAATAGTAAGCGACATGTCACCTCCCAAAAGAGCCCTTGAGGGTGGTGGGCAGCCCAGGACTTAAATACCACCTAGCCGATGTGGGACTAGCCAATGTGGGACTATTTGTCCGTGACAATCCGCTGTTCTGTCACGGATCGGCTCCACCGAGGGTCCCACTGGACCATGGAGAGTCCACACACCTGGCAGGCAGTAATCTGCTCTGATACCACTTGTCACCTCCCAAAAGAGCCCTTGAGGGTGGTGGGCAGCCCAGGACTTAAATACTGCTTTTCGGCCCTACACCTAGCCGATGTGGGACTATTTGTCCGTGACAGACAGGTTTAAATTAAACTTTATTTTAAATGAAATTTTATTTACGTAGGTTAGAATTAATAATAAAATTAAATAATTTGATTTATTGAAAATAGATAAAAAAACTTAATAATGAAATTAGAAAGATTAACATTTTAATATAAAATTTATACATTCCAAATACTTAAAATGATCCGACTTTTACAATTAGGAGTTCTGAGAATCAAGTGATTAAATTTCGATGATATATGGACAAGAATGTTAGTTAAGATTTAAAAAATTATTGGAAGTTTATTTTAATAACTGGGGATGATTAATTTTATTAAATAAAAAAAATTAAACACTTCAAATTTAGAAGTAAACTTTCAAGAAACAAAAACTTTATATATATATATATATATATATAGAATGCAATAAAAAAGTTAAAAAAATTAAATTAATAATAAATGGATAAATTTAGATTATTCAAGATGTTTTGTTAAAAGAAAAGAAACTTAATTAAAAAAAACGTCAATGTTCTAACAATAAAGATGCATTAATTGGATTTATATATAACGATACATCATTATTCTACGAAATCAAATCATAGTAGATGAAAAAAATCATAAATTAAAATAACTTAAATAACAAGGATAAACAGGGTTCAACCATCGAATCAAACAACAAGAATACACCAAATGAAACATCCAAGCCAACCCCATGATACACGGTTTTGTGGCGCGTTGCAAATATCTTTCAATATTACAATACACACACGACAACACAAATAGTAAATATGCAGTTCAATCCCAATAAAAATAAATCAATAAAAATAAATTCAATATAAATAATTTTATCTTTTAAAATCTTTAAGTTGTCAAACCGTAATAATAACACAAGTATACGTATCGCTCAGGTGATAAATGATTCTAATGAAGTCTTAAGTATCGATCTCACAGGGAGTTGGAAATTCTTATAGTTATAATGTAAACCACAATATACAAGCTACAAAACTTAAATATGCAAAACAAATCTAAAGTAAATTTATTATATTTACTAAATGAAATGCAATTAAAAGAACTTAGTTAACTAAACTATTTGCTAAACTTCAAAAAATAAACTTATAAAGACTAAAAAAATTTTTTTTAACGAAGAGTTCGAATTTAAGAAAACATCCTTCCCTTTTACAATGAGTTTATGGATTGTGAAATAATTAAAATCATTTAAAATACATATAAAATTATATTGTGTCAAATAGGAGCAATCATATTTTTTACCCTCTAAATGGGCATAAATAACATTGACTAATACAGAGTTTGGTCCCTAAATTCGTGGTTAGTTTGAGAGAATACTGGCTGCTAGTCCAGAGCTCTCATTTCTCCCTCCCCTGAGGGCTAACAATCTCGCTTTAATTTCCAAGAAACAAAACCAAATTGAGGATTTTAGTCTGATACCTTAAAATCTCCAATTTTGCACCCATCAAAGTATATTTTTCTATTTATTAGCACGCAACCCCAAACACTACATTCTCACTCATGAAATTGAATGTGACTCTTACCTTATTGTAGAAAGCATAGCCCTTTCAGATCTTATGTTTCTCAACAAATTTTAACATTTCAATTGGTCATATCCAAAAGTAAATGAAAATCAGAGTTTGAATCATCACAATTTATTGACGTTTAAAATATTACATAACAAAATCATATCTCATTGTAGGAAGAAATATAAATAAGTCTACTCAGAATTCATGAGAAAAATACAACAAAACATAGATTTTATATATAAAAACAAGTTTAAAACACAAATAAAAGAAAATACACAACTTATCTCACATTTCTTCTCAAGCAAATCCCTTAAAGTTCCCTTTAAGCACTTTTTTTCTTTACAATCACACTCAGTTCTCTCTTAAAAATATAATAAAGAAGAAATCTCTCACATTTCCTCTCCTCATACAACTTTAGAAGAAAATTTTATCTTCTCCCAAGACTTCTCTCTCACGCCAACTCTCCTCTTCAAACCTTTCGCCCCCCTTCTTCTCTAAACTCCTCTCTTTTTAATTAGGGTCAGTCTTCATTTCAAAAGAACTCAAAATTCCCTCCTTTTTTCTCCTAAAAGGCACACCTTTTCACACCAAGAGCTAGTCCCTTCATTCAAGAGTCTTTCCAAAATGTCTAAATGAATTGAATCACTCCATGAGGTGTTTGAATTGATTGGAGCCTTCAAAAATCGCTCCAAAATAGTCACTAACCGCCTTACTCCGTCTTAATTCGTCTATGACGTTTCTGGCGCCAGTTTTGGCGTTTGTGGCGCCAGTATATTGAAATTTGCACTATTCTATGGATTTTGACGCCAATTCTGGCGCTTATGGCCCCGCTTTTCTGTAAAATGGCGCCTATGGCACCAACTCTCTGGAAAATAGTGTTTCTGGCGCCAGGATGCTAAAATACTCCGTTTTGATTCCTAATATCTTTTTTTTTGCTCATTTTTGCTCCAATTACCTAAAATCAATATACCTGCAACAAAACATGAAAATAACATTCTTTAAAGTGCAATATCATCAAATTTAAGCATAAAATGAATACAAAAAATTGCACATTATTTTGGTGTATCGCCCCACCTTAAAAACCAATCTAGAGTAGAGAAAAGATGGAAACCACTAACACTCCCAAATTCATCTTAGCTAAGATGTGTTTCAAGGAACACAATTTTGGATGCATTGCATCTGATTGCCCAAACAGGTAAATCTCATTCATTGAGCATAGAACAATGGAAAATATTGATAGCGACTTAGGAGATACAGGAGGTGATAAAACAAAGGAGTGTCACCTTCCAGATGACAAGAGAGAAATGACAGTAATTCAATAAACCCTTCAAATTGAACAAGTGAGAGTGGAACTAGCAGGACTAGCAATGGTTGTCTAAAATAATAATTAGTTCAAACTAATAACAGAAAAAGAAAAAGCTTCCCCTGTTGAAGTTGTCATATATTATGATCGCCAGTTTACCTCCTAAGTGGTTATCACTTATGGTGATAGAGCATGTCATCAAGTTCATTCCTAGGCTCATTCTTCAAGACATATGTGTTTCTTGGATAAGCCCAACTGAGTATGAGTGGGAGAAACATGTCATATTTTTA